ATTGAAATATAAATATATATATATGGATTAACGTGATTTTATTTTTTGGATTTTAATTACAGTCCAATCAAAGTTTATGAACATGGAATCTTCGGATATTTTAAATTGTGAAGTTAAATGGATAACAAAATTTCATAAGAGAAATCATTATTGCCAAGAAAAAGGAAAAGTTGGGAAGGGCTCAGTTAGTTGCCATATGACCTCAAAATTAGTTGAAGATTGAAAAAAAGTACTAACAAGATGAAAGATTTTAAGAACTCTCTACTCAAAAAAAAAAAAAAAAGATTTTAAGAACTCTATTAAGATTAAGCAAAAAGTCAACAAGAAGTAAAAATAGGACTTAAAAAAACAAACCAACTAATGGGGGTTGGGCGCCTATGCCTATAAAACCTGATTAAATATTTAAAATTTAATCAGTATAAATATTTAAAATGTAAAACCTTTAATATTTAACTATTCATAGACTTTTCCTGATCACGTGAAAAAACTGATATATTCATGAGGATACGTTTTCAATAAAAGTACATATATCAATTCAAGTAAATAATAATACTAAATCTTTCATTCTTTACTTTTACCTTCATTTTAGTTTTAGTCCCTTAAATTTCAAATTATAAGTTTTTATCACTTAATTAAGGGATAAAATGGCTCAGGTTTCTATTAAATTATACTTCTTCCTTTTCCTAATATAAGATCTTATTTGACTTTTATTTTGGTTCTACATATAAGACCTCGATTCACTTTGTCTTTCATATTTATTTATTTTTCTCAAAGTTGTCCTTGTAATAATAGTAGTTTTAGCCAATACATTTGATTAGTAAGAATATTTTAGAAAATACAATACCTATTTATAACAAATAACTAACTTAATTTATTTTCTTAATCTACTCACATTAGTCAACTAGCTCTTATATTTAGAACTGGAGGTAGCATAAATCAATGTTTTAATTTTAAATGAAAAGAAACTTAAGGGATTAACACCGTAAAAATTTGATGGACCAAAAGCAAAATAAGAGTAAATTTGAGAAAGCAAAAATTACATTCTAAATACAAGACCCTTCTATATACTAATATAAGAGTCTTATAGTATTAACCTATAACAACAACAACAACAATAATAATGAACGAGATTATCAAGTTGGGTTGCGACTCGTGACCATCGTCGTCCCATTTTTTATTTTTTCCCTAATCCCTTGTGGTCCCGATTGAATGCGACGGCTTTGCCTTGCGAGATTGCTTCCTCCCGGTCGGCCGACGACTAAAGACTCATGTACGTCCTTTTGATTCTCAGGCCTTTAATTTCTTCTGCTTTCTTCTCAGAGATCAATTTTTTTGGGAAGAATTGTAATAAGGTCTAAAAAAAAATTACTATAAAATATCAATAACAGCTAAGCAACTTTCTTCTGTTTTCTTCTATAATAATGATTATAGGTTAATTATAATTGCAATAAATTTGATCTTCATTTGACTTCAGTTTTTAAAATTTAACCTCATTTTCATTTTGGTCATTGTTTCATGGACCAAAAACATTCTAGAAACTAAAAACCTTTAGGTCGGCCAAAATAAAATTAAACTTCACCTTTGATCGGTTTCTCGCTGGGCGCTAGAATCATCGGTTCCTGCAATGGCTTGCTCTGTGTTGTAATGAATCCTGCTACTGGAGAGATCAGACAGATCCCTATAACCAAAACTCGTAAACTTCCTAAGTGGGTTCACTCCACATTTGGCTATATATGGGAGTTTTTACATTGATACAATGGCCTCCTATGTCTGCGTAAATTTCAAGTGATGTTAAATTGACTGTGCATGACGACAAAGTTGCTATACTTTCTCTCTGTAGCTGTTTGATTGATTTGTGGGTGTTAGAGGAGAGCGTAAGTTCAAGTGCGGAGAGATGGAGTTGGACTAAAATATCTAGTAGCAAGCCCTTCCCATGCACGTTAAGGGCCTGTTTGTTTTTGTTTTTTGTTTTCTTATTCTCAAAACAATTTTGTAAAATTGTTTCTTAGAACCATTTTTGAAAACAAAAAACAAAAGAATTTGTTTGGATAATAATTTTAAAAAAATCATGTTTACAAGAAAAAATAATAAAAAATCACACTTGACAAATGATAGTTGTCGCTGGTATTGATAAGTAGTAGATAGTAAATGAGAAGAGAAGAAAATTTTTAAAAATTTTTCAAATCAAAAAATAAAAAACACAAAAGCAAAAACAAAAAAGCATGTAAAAGTTGTTTTGGTTTTTAAGTTTTTAAAAACATGTTACTATTTTTTTGTTTTTTAAAACAATCAACTAAAAATAAGTTACCAAACAAGTTTTTTTTTGTTTTTCTGTTTTTAAAAACAAAAAATCGTTTTCAAAACAAGAAACCAAACAAGCTCTAAAATTTCCTGAGATCATTTGGAAGAATGAAATTTTCATTGGTTGTTTTGAAAAGTATAGACTTGTGAATAAAAGTGGTATAATGAAGACAGACCAAGAAAACTTTGGTCAATTACATTTGATCAATATCACTAATGAGACTAAGATGCTTGCTATCCCTGGATTTCGCCATGGTAATGTTTTCAATTATGTTGAAAGTCTTGCTCCAATTGGCAACATTTACTTTGAAGAATCTTGATGATCCTATAAAGGATAATTGTCACAATGCAAATTTAATTTTGTTTAATTTTTTTGGTTGAAATTAATTCCTATCAGTTTAGATTAATGACAAGTTTTGATGCCCTTTCTCTATGTTATATAGAACGATGAAGGGTAGATTTTCAGTATCAGGTGCCTTTAATTTTTTGGGGCCTATATTTGACCTATTCATAATATGAGGGTGCTCGTCTCTGCCACTCTGCACATTCAAAATAGTATTTCCCCCAAGATTTTGCTATTTGCAACAAATATTAATTGGTTGACTTCCATTAGGGATGTATAGATAGAGGTTCAATTTGAAAGTTACTTACATATCAAGCAATCATAAATATAAATCTTGTTAGAAGATTATGTTGATGAGTGATTCTAGATTTGTATTCCATTAGCTTTTTTCTAAATATCCATATTTTTACAGTCGAAATTACAATATACTTGTTAGTTGTGAATGAGAACCAAAGGAACATATACCGCAATCAAAAAAGAAGGGATAAAACGACTATTGATTTTAGTTGCAACAGCTTGTCTACATAAAATTGTCAAGGAGGTGATAGCATTTCCGCTAGGATAACTAACCGTTAACTACCAATTTTAATTATTTTCATTAAAAACTATTTTCTTAATGAAAAAATTTCTTAATGCATGCAATTGATAGGAAGAATTTAGGAACAAAATTATTAATTTGAAAGGAAAGAGGATTGAGTTTTTAAATATATTTAAATCAAAAATAAATCATTTCACTTGCTTTTATGCTAAAGAATAGAGGTAATTAATATAACTGGAACTATAAATCATATAACTAAATTAATTCGAGCTGCTTGGCAAACATAGCTAAAAGTTTTTGTCTTTTTTCCTTTTTTTTTTTTTTACTACACGGACATCATTAGGAATTATGTTGATGGATGAATGAAAATGGAACAGATATGTAGAGGTTGGAGAACAAATTTTCTTATAGCAAATTTTATGTTTTACAATCTCAACTCAAATGAAATAAATAAATTTAACATATTGAATTACTCTTCCTATCCTTAATATAAGACCTAATTGTTGAGTTAATTTTGGTCCTATATATAAGACCTATTTCTCATATTTATCAATTTTTTTTAAATTATCTCTATGGATACTCCTTCAAATATAATCAAGTAGAAAAAGAAAAGAGGATATTAAGAAAGATGATTATGGTGTTTTAGAAAAAACATGTCATATTTTTTGTAATTAACTAATTTACCTAACTTTCTTAATCTAATCAAATTAACTAAATAGGTCTTATATTAAGGACCGGAAGAATATCTGAATATAAGTCTATTGATAATTTTTATCTCGAATCCTTGTGAAAAAGTGAGCTTTTAAGACTTTAAGGAAGGTGAGGGTGTAAAAATTGTTTTTTCTTTCGTTATTTCATTCAAGACAATAAACTTGCACCCAAAAATAGTCACTCGGAAAATAGTATAACATGATGAATTGATTTATACAATTGTTTTGGATTGTTAGGTAAGTTATTAAGGGATAAGAAGCAAGTGTAATTGAGATAATAATTATTATTGATAAAAGTTAAAAAAGGGCAGGTTTGGAAATTAATTAATTAGCTACTGCCATGCCACTTTAAAATCCTCAGTATAAATTATCAATGTCATCAATATATGATTGGAAAAATAATATCAATTAATATATATATATATATATATATATATGGCCAATCAATATATAGGGTAAAGCTTGAAAATATTTTACCGTTCACAAAAAGTAGTTGATAAAATTAATTTTTAAACTCAGAATCATAGGAATGAAACTCAAAACTCAGAAGTATATAATTAGAGCCGTAATCTTTCCTTTTGTATAGTTTCTACCTTATAAAATTAGAATTAAAATCTAATTTGATTGGAGATAATAATGATAGGAAATCGTTAATAATATTATATTAATTTGCATAGATGTAATGTAACTTTTTGATAAAATATATATCATATTTAAAAGATCACATGATCACAATACTTCAATTTCAAGAGATACTGAATCTATATAATAATAATAGAATTATACAAGATAGATTTTTGGCCAGCAGTTATGGAATATAGATTAGCAATTAGAAATTAACTAAAAAGTTAAATCCTATTATCTTTATCTTTATATATAATGGCAAACACTATGCATTTAAATATTCATCTAGATGCAGAACATTTAAAACTTCATTAAGATAAAGATTAAAACAGTGATTTATCGTTGAAAATACGTTTCCATTTCCCATCGATCTTTCCTCCGCGAGATTTCTTCTTCATTCTCAGCCGATTGGCAACTCAAAGCATATATATAGTTATATAGCTTTCTGATTTTCAGCCTCTGGTAGATTTCCAAGTCGAACACCATGAAGCAGAGGATAGCGGGTGGCGACACGGCGGCGCCATATCTTCACGAAGAAATCATCAGACAAATTCTGAAACGACTTCCGGTGAAATCCCTAATCAGATTTCAATGTGTCTCCGAACGCTGGAAAAATCTCATCAAGTCGCCGTCTTTCATCGACGAACACCTCCATTACTCGACTCATCAAAACCCTTCACTTCTTCTTAGGAAAAGTAATGGACGTTTTAAACCTTTGCAGTTACGTTTGATGGATTCTGAGATGCACGTTCGTGAAGTTCAAAACCCACCTTTACCACTCCGTTCCTTATTGACATTTAGTATCGTTGGTTCCTGTAATGGCTTGGTTTGTGCTGAAATCGATGGGATGATAAATCTGCCTCCTCCGCATCCTTTTTGTTGTGGAATCCTGCTACTGGGGATGTTAGAAAAATCCCTACAACCAGAAGCTCTAAACATCCTTATGAGTCGGTTTACGTCGGATTTGGGTTCAGTACGATTGTTAACGATTATAAAATAGTGCAAATATATGATGGGTATGATGGGGATATGGTGATTGAAGTGTATTCATTAAGCATAGGTTCGTGGAAGGAAATAGAATCTGAGAGCTTAAAGGGTGTAAGTCCTTCTGATATTATTTGTAATTGGGTCACTGTCAATGGACGTATCTTTTGGGATGCTGCAACTCCAGAGGATAAAGAGGATGGCGTATATCGTACTTGTTTGATACTTTCATTTGACATAGCTGTGGAAGTTTTTACAGTGATACCAGGACCTCCTCAATTAGATGTTTCAAGAGGCTTTGAATTCACTTTGTCTGCTTATGATGATAACAAGCTTGCTATAATTTATGTGCCTAGAGTCGGTCGCCCTCCAAAGTATTTATATTCTTTGATCCATTTGTGGGTGTTAGAGGAGAAGGGCACAAGTTCATCGACAGAAAGATGGATTTGGACTAAAATATATACTAGCAATCCATGTCCAGCCAAGTTTGACGTTCCTCGGACCATGTGGGGGAACAAATTTGTCTTCTTTTGTATTAGGGAGCCTAGCCTTACAAATGAAAGCGGCGGCGAAATGGAGAATCGATTTTCCTTAAGCATCATTACTAATGAGGGCAAGATATTTGAGATCCCTCAATGCTATGGTAGTTGGGCTCTCAATCATGTAGAAAGTCTTGTACCAGTTGGCAACATTCACTTTGAAGAGCCTTGATGATTTAAAGCTGAATTTTATTACATTGCAAATTTGCTTTTCATTTAAACATTTTGGTGGAAAATAATCCATATCCTTGCCAGTTTGGATTAGTGATATAAATTTTGATGCCATTTAGATGTGTTATATAGAATGATATGAAGGGTAGATTTTTTTAGTACGAGTTGTTTCTGGCTATATTTGACCTATTGATTATATCAGATTGCATTCTGCAAATTCAAAAATGTAATTTTTTTCCACATGATTTTTTTGGGGCTATTTTCGACAAGTATTAATTGGTTTACTTCTATCGACACGTAGATAGAGTTGTAATTTGAAATTTATTAACTCTTATTGTTAAAAAGTTGTTGAGTGATTCCAAGATTTGTACTCTATTATCTTTCTTCTAGAGATCCATATTTTTAACCATCAAAATTACACTACTAGATTTATTAGCTGTGGCTTATTAGAACATAAAAAACAACGAAATCCAGACAGAAGAATATCTGGCATTAATTAACTACAAGACAATCAAAATTTTCAAAATACACCAAGATAAAGGAAAATCAAATGCTTTCTTCATTTTAAATATAAGTTATTTTTACCTTATGCGTGCTTATTAAGAGAAACAATTGAGTAGTTGGAAATTTTAAATTTTTCCCAACGATACAAATTGTTTAAATTGGTCATATTAATATAGGTAAGGAAAATATTTAGGTGAAGTTAATTATAGGAAATATTGCAATAAGGTCTTACCCAAAAGAATTAAATACAAAAAGATTTTTTGAAATTATCAAATTATTATGAAATCCTAAGGGACCTAATTGTAATAAATTTTATTTATTTAATTAACAAATTATCTTTTTTAAGTATATATTGATAATTGAAAGAGTAGTCTTATGTAAGGATTAACAACTATTGCAGCAGGTATTAATAACATATTTTCTCAACTCATCATAAAAATGTAATACATAAGTTGTTAATATTTGTTATGATAGTTATTAATTATTACACCTTAAGTTGTTAGTTACTATACTTTCAGTTGTTAATACATACTTTTAAAAAAAGAGCAATTTGATAATTAAATAAATGAAATATCTTGCAATGAGGTCTCTTGTGACTTTAAAATTTCAAGGGACTTTTTTTGTATTTAATTCTCTTAGATGGGGTGTTATTGCAATTTTTTCTTAAGTATATTTATTATGTTAAGTTCTCTAATCACATATGATTATATATTTTATATCTTTCTATATGGGTTTATAATTAAATGATATTAAATGCTAATAATTAAAAAAATAAAATACATGACTAACTATATGTGATTAGAGAATTAGACATAATTGATATAAGTAACTTCACCTAAATATAGCCCTTAAGAGATAAAACTCACACACTCTTCATATCCATAAATATTCGAACTTTCAAGATGATAAATTAATTTATACAATTGTTTTGGATTGTTAGGTAAGTTAATGGACAACAAGCTGCTTTTTTTTTTTTTTTTGACCCGCAACGGATAATGAGCTGCTGTAGTTGAGATAATAATTATTATTGATAAAATGAAATAAAAAGCAGGTTTGAAAATTAATTAATTAGTTGCCATGTCACCTTATAAAATCCCCAGCATAAATTATCAATATCATCATATCATTAACGTATGATTGGTTAAATAACATCAATTAATATATGGTCAATCAATATAAAATGGTAAAGCTTGGAGCTTTTTACCGCTGATAAATAGTAGTTGATAAAATTAATTTCCAAACTCAGAATCATAGGAATGAAACTCGAAACTCAAAACTCAAAAGCATATAATTATAGCCGTAATCTGCCCTTTTATATAGTTTCTACTTTCTACCTTATAAAATTAGAATAAAAATCTAATTTCATTAAAGGTAATAACGATAGGAAATCGTTAATATTATATTAATTTTTTATAGATGTAATTTTTTTGATAAGATATATAATATTTAAAAGATCACATGATTACAATACTTCAATTTCAAGAGATACTCCGATGGCAGGAAAAAAAAAATCAAGAGATACTGATTACTGAACCTATATAATAATTAGACGATAGATTATTTTTTGGCCAATAATATTAGAATATAGATTTGCAATTAGTACAAATTAACTAAAAAATTAAATCTCAGTGATAATGGCAAACACTATGTATTTAAATATTTATCTAGAGGGAGAGCATTTAAAACTTCATTAAAATTAAGATATAGGCCCCAAAAACACTTATTTATCATTAAAAATTAGTTTCTGTTATTAAAATAACGTAGATTGGAGAAGAGAAGTAGACAAGAAAATAAGAGAATGATATTGTATCTCAATTTCTCTCTTATCTTACTCATATCTTTCATTCCAAATCTTGCTCATATTTCTCATTTTCATAACAGATTCCACTTTTTACGGAATGGAAATTCATATAAACTTGGCTCGCCCCAAAGACCCCATCGATCTTTCATCTGCGAGGTTTCTTCTTCTCAGCCGACAACTGAAAGCGCACACACGCACACACACACGTAGTTATATAGCTTTGATTTTCATCCTCTAATTCCTTTTACTTTCTTTTGATAGATTTCCGACCACCACGAAGCAGAGGTTAATGGATGGCGAGACGCCATATTTTCCTGAAGAAATCATCAGAGGAATTCTCATACGACTTCCGGTGAAATCCCTAATCAGATTTCAATGCGTCTCCAAAAATTGGAAAAATCTCATCAAGCGTCCATCTTTCGTCGATGATCACCTCCGTCGCTCTACTCATCAATACCCTTCACTTCTTCTTTGGAGATATCCTCATCCATACCCTCCTTCAGTTCTTCCTTGCAGACAGAATGGAACTTCAAGACCTTTGCAGCTACGTTTGATGGATTCTGAGATGCATGTTCGTGAACTTCAAATCCCACCTTCACTACTCGATTCCAAGTTGAACGTTAAGATCGTCGGTTCCTGTAATGGTTTGGTTTGTGCTGAAATCAATCAGTACTACGATAGATCTGCCTCACGCAATTTCCGCAAATCCATTTTGTTGTGGAATCCTGCCACTGGAGAGGTTAAACAAATCCCTAGAACCAGAACTTATGAAACTACTGAGTGGGATTGCATTGGATTTGGGTTTAGCCCAATTGTTAATGATTATAAGATAGTGCAAATACATGTACCATCCATTATGGTAGCCCGATTGAAGTCTATTCCTTAAGCACAGATTCGTGGAAGGAAATAGGAACTGAGAACTTAAAGGGTGTACGTCCCAATGGTGTTTGGGTCACTGTCAATGGACGTATGTTTTGGCGAACTCTACGAGGAAAAGGGGGGGTCATTCATTCTTTCATTTGACATAGCGACGGAAGTGTTTACAGCGATACCATGGCCTCCTCAAGTATTTTGTCGTGGACATTATTGCGATCTATCTGTGCATAATAATAAACTTGCTATAATTCGTGTCCCTACAATTGGTCATTTACATTCTTGGATCGATTTGTGGGTATTAGAGGAAGAGGACGGTATAAGTTCATCAACAGGAAGATGGAGTTGGACTGGAAAATTTCCTAGCGATATTTGCTCAGGCACGACAATGATTCCTATGACCATTTGGAGGAATAACTTTGTCTTCTTTTCTGATGAAAAGCCCATACCTACGAATGGAAGTGGCAGCGAAATGGAGAATGATAAACAAAGGGTTTGTCAATCTTTTACTGAGATCATTAGTATTAATGAGGGTAGGATTTCTATGATCCCTGGATTCTATGATGATGTTTTCAATCACGTGGAAAGTCTCGTACCAATTGGCAACATTCACCTTGAAGAACCTTTATTCTAAAGGTTAATTTTATTATAATGCAAATTTTCTTTTTATTTGACTATTTTGGTGGAAAATAATCCTTGTCATTTTAGATTTATTACATAGAATGTGATGAAGGGTAGATTTTTAATACGAGATGTTTCTGGCTATATTTGACCTATTGATTATCTGCAAATTCAAAACTCTATTTTACTTTTTCCTAGATGATTTTTCTTTTTTTGCCTATTTGCGACAAGTATTAATTGGTTAAGTTCCATCAGCCATACATAGATAGAATTGTAATTGTAATTTGAGATTTATTAGAACATAACTTAACAACGTAATCGGGAAAGAAGAGCATTTGACATTATTAATCGCAACACAACCAAAATTTTCTAAACTTACTAAGACAAAGGAAAATCAAATGCTTTCTTCGTTTTAAATATAAGTTATTTTCACCTTGTGCATGCTTATTAAGAGAAACAACATAATGGAGTGGTTTGAAATTTTAAAATTCTTCCAACTATCCTAATTGTTTAAGTGCATTGAAAATAATCGTTCTAATCGGTCATATCAGTATAAGTAAATAGTTTTAATACAGGATAAATTATACATTTAGTCCTTTAAAAGTTAAAGTTTCAGTTTGGTCACTTAATTTTAAAAAGTATACTTTTAATCTTTTAACCCCAAAATTGTTAGTTTTAAATAATAATTTTTTAAACAATCATAGTTGTTTTGAAAATTAAACTTAATATCATAGTATTTAGTATTGTGTTATTAATATTCAAAAGTTTGATATCATCATTTTTTGTTAACGCTCTAGGGTTAGAGGACTAAAAGTTTACTTTTTAAAGTTAAAGAATTAAAATAAAACCTCATATAAAGTTAAAAGAAAAGTATACTTTAGCCATTAATATACTTAGTCTCTTAGGACAAGAAGCATAATAAGAGATAAATTAGTAAGCAGTATTTATTCTATTATGATTTTTAATTAAGAAATATACTTTGAGAATATTTTTAGAATATTCTTTAATTAACAATGTATTACTAGTTTGGATTAAAATGTATGTTTTCAAAATAGAGGCAAAGTTTATGTAATTAAGAAAAAAAGGTGATTAGAGTATATTTTATTTTAAAATTGATTACAGAATTTAATTTCCTTGGCTCAGAATAGGAATAAAATCCAAAATTCAGAATTTTAGCCGTAATCTCCTTTTACATAGATAATAAAAGATAAAAGAGTTGCATAACTCTATTATAAAATAAGAATTAAAATCTGATTTGGCTAAAGAGAATATTGATGGCAAATCATGATTGATATATCTTTATATTTATAGTTACCGTATTTTTTTGATAACACTGATATGTAATATTTAAAAGATCACGTGATTGCAAAGTGATCATTTTATCACAGTGAACTTGTATTATAATAATAATAGTAATTTTATTATGGAAATCGTAATATAAAAAGTTGAATCTAAATATCTTTATAATATTAATGACAAAGATTATGTATTCAAGTATCTAACCAGATAAAGAATATTTAAAACTTATGGTTTTTTTTATAAAAAAAAAAAACAACGTTTTAACTGTTCACGCAAAGGAAATATGAACTCGGCTCGCGCCCGCCTCTTGAAAAGCCCATCGATTTTCCCCGCTACGAGATGTCTTTTTCTCATCAGTCAACAACTAAAAACAGAGAGTCATATAGCTAGCTTGACTGGTCGTTAATATAAAAATTAATTAACTAATTTGAATAATTAAAAAAATTAATTAAATTAGTTATTTATAATGAATAGATGTTATCTTTTAAAATATCTTTACTAATCAAATATATTGGCATATACTATTATTATAAGGATTATCTTGAGAAAAAATAGATAAATATGAAAACGAAACAAAGTGAATTGAGATTTTATATTTAAAATTAAAATAAAATTTAAATGGACTCTTTTATTAAAGAGCGGATGTAGTATTTCAAAGTTCCCATATCTTTTTTTTAAGACCATGAATTCATAATGAAGATCCCTTGAAAATGCTACTAACACACATTGTTCAAAAGTTAGACTCATGATTTTGTAGGGTATATTTTTGATTTATTAGCTTCATCATATTTATGTGGAAAATATTGATTCATTATATTGTGTATTGATATATCCTACAAAATGAAATGTCATGTTATAACCACGTTCGTATAAACTAAAATAAAATTTTTTTATATATTTATCTGTAAATCATAAATTATGATTGAAAAATTATTTTTAAAGATTCTAATCATCATTAGAGATTAGATAGTTCAAAATGCGTATATCCTACAAAATGAAATGACATACATATATATGAAAAATAGCTTGCTTGCTGGCTTTAATTTTTAAATTATTCAAGAAAAACATGATGATGTGGACACGATTATGGAATTTTTATCAACTTTATTCGATGCTCTACAAGTTCTCGGAGTTGCAATTTGAAAACGGTTTTTGAAAAAATGGTGCTCATTAATAACGTGATCTATGTGACGCACAGAATTTTCAATTTTTGCAAATTATTGACAGTGTAATTTAAAAACGCCCAAATTTATAAGAAAAACAGTTCACGTGATGTAAAGCAATATGATATTAAATGTATAAGTTAGATAATTGATTTGCAGTGACTATAAAAATTAATTAAATTACTTATTCATCAAAGATGTGTGTTGATTTTTCTTAAAAACCTTTTTAATTATTTTCATAAAAATTACTTTCTTGATGAAAAATTCCTCTAATACATGCAATTTTTATTTTTTAGGAAAAGTTATGAAAAAATTTATATTTTGAACGCCAAAATGGATTGAGTATTTGTTGGAAAAAATTGAGTATATAACCAAAGAAATCATTCATGTCTAACTGTTATACTATCTCATATCCTTAATATAAGAACTAGTTGACTAATTTAAATAGATTTAAAAAACTAGTTAAATTAGTTATTTGTAATAAATAGGTGTTGTCTTTTTTAAAATATTTTTGCTAATCAAGTGTATTAACTAGAACTATCATTATTATAAGGACTAATTTAAAAAAAAAGATAAATATGAGGGACAAAGTGGATTGGAGTTTTATATTTAGAACAAAATAAAAATCAAACGAGTTCTTATATTAAGGATCGGGGTTAGTATTAAGAATTGGAGTATATATAATTGAAACTTATGCGAACATCTTTAAGATTAATACAACGCAATAATAACAAAAATAAATGGTTTGGATTCGAGTAGTTATGTTGATGGATGAATGAAAATTGAACATCTATGCAAAGGTCGGAGAAAAAGTTTTCTTATGATGAAAGTGAAGTTCGAAATTCTGGGAACAAGAAATCAAAATTACTTACCTCTTATCAAAATTGTAGGGTATATATTCTGTTTACTTCTATTCAAGAAGCAGAAACCTTTTCACTTTAAAGTCTTTTCCTGTAACTCCAGTTAAAGCCAATCTCTTCATCGCAATTAATAACAAAAATAGAAAATAAAAAAAATTAACAAGTCTCTCTACCTTCTCTTGATTTTTAATGAGGTTTATGTAGTTTTTTTATAGCATGTCTACATGTAGTTTACCTGAGTTTTAACAAAGTTCCTACAATTTTTTTATTATATTCTTGTAGTTTCAACTGATTTCCACATATTTTAATCAGGTGAAGGATGCAGAAGAGAACACCCAAATACCTCATTAGAAGTCAGGTAAAACTACATGGACTTGTATATTAATTTTCTGAAAAAAGAAAGAAAGAAGTAAGTGAATTAAAAAAAAAAAATCCAAATACGTTTTTTAGCATCGTATCTTACCTTTTCTGGCAAATTTTGTCTCCTTTTTGGGGCTGCTACTTCTTCATGGTGTTTCTAATTCAAGCCCACATTTTTTTTTGAGTATGATACAAAATTTAAAAGAAAAAATTGTAATAAAGTCTTATCCAAGATAATTAAATATAAAAAAAATCTTAAAATCATCAAATTATTATGAAGTTTTAAGAAACCTTATTGTAAGAGAATTTATTTGTTTAATTACTAAATTGTCCTTATTTCTCTTCAAGCACATACATTGATAACTGAAAGTGTAATTATTAACAATTTAAAGTGTAACAATTAACAATTATCACGTCAGGTATTAACAACACATTTTCTCATATATCACAAAAAAAAATATGGGTGTTAATATCTATCGTGATAGTTGTTAATCTTACATATTAAGTTTAACTATTTTTTTCAGTTATCAATATATATTAAAAAAAAGTAATTTGATAATTAAATAAATAAATTCTTTGTAATGAGGTTCTTTAAGACTTCAGAATAATTTGATATTTAGGAGATCTTTTTATATTTAATTTTTTAAGTGAGACATTATTGCAATTTTTCTAGTTTAAAATTATTTATAATATATATTTTTTTGCCGGTAAACATTGACAATATTGATGAGCAGTCAGAGAGATTACATTTTCACAAGGGTTGGTAGAGTGACAGGGGGGAGGGAGAGGAGAGAAAAAGAGAAATAAAGAATCCAAATTTGGCATGACAAATACGCAAGAGTGTTTCTTTTGCCGCGAATAACTGAATAAAGCAATCCACATCGCCCCCAGCCTTTTTTCCCTGTCTGCTCCGACACTGTGTACCCCCCACTGCATATTATTCTCTCTCTTCTTTTTCCGGAGAGCCCCTTTCAGCATTTTGAAGTATCTCATTCTTTAATCTTTACTCTTCACATTCTTCGGGTTAATTCCTTTTTCTTTTCTCATACACCTTTCTGGACTGTCTCCTTGGTAATTATTTTCATCAACATGATATTCCTTCCGCTCACAAGATCGGAGCCATAGTTTCGACTTGTAAGACTGAGAATGCTTGTGTTTATGTCCTCTTCTTGCATCTTATTCTCGCTGCCAATTATGCTGATATGTTTCTATGTTTATGGAATTTACTTGATTTTCCTTAGTTCATGGTGTCTGGATGGTATCTGTGTTCGTTATTTACTCGACTACTTATTGATTGAATTATCGAGGCGCATGAAGTTATATTTTCCCTATTCTGTTTTTATTCTTCTCATTAATTTGGACACGGGACGGTTGTCAAGTATTGTAAGAACATGTTAAAGTGGTGATCCGAATGCTCGCGCGCGAGAGAGTAGGTCTTTAAAAAATATGCTTATTATGTATACCCTTGTTTGTCTCTCGTCTCCGCAGATACGTAATCACAAAGAAGTTCATGTGGTTAAAAGTTAAGACACGTTCTTAGAACTTTTATGTGAAACCTCTTACTGCAATTAATTGAATTAGTTTTATGTGCTTGTCATAGGTGTGGGAAGCATTGGTCATTTTAGTTTAGTTTTCTTTCACCCTTTCTCCTGATTCTCATTTGTTTAATATATGAGCTATCTGAAGTAGAATATTAACACATGTTTCTGTTTGACTTGCAGCATTATTTGTTGATAATCCTGGAAAGCTTTCTGTTGGCGGTCAAATATTAATCACTGTGATTATCACTATTGAAACCATTCATTGATTAAAGAGTGACAGGTCCTGTGAAGATTGTACTCCAAAATCTGCCTTGATAAGTGTCGTTGGTTTTCTATATGTCCAAAGGTGAAGATAAAATGAGTGACACAGTGAACGACTCAAATTCCCAGGGGAAACGTACGAATCCAGGAAACTGTAGAACCAATCACAGTAGAGATCCCAATCCTGGAGATGACCTTTGGACTGATGGTCTTATTTGTGCATTTGAATTTGTTCGAGGTCGGCGAAGATCAATTAAGTCAAAGCACTCATCAAGGACCTCAGATAGATTACAAATGGAAGGTGAATATTCAAAAATGCTTGATCCTTTAAATGATCTGATAGATTCCTCTTCCCCGAGGTTATATGGAAACAAGTTATCAGATTTGTCATCTGCAAATGACTTGAGGGGCAGTAGGTTACATGCCATAGATGATGAAAAGGACAGCAAGGTCCTTCAGTTTAGTCAATCCGATGTCACAGAAAAATATGATGGTAGTCATTGGGTGCCAATTGGATGGGCAAGGATTTCCGAACTCGTCCAGAAAGTTCAGGTTGATACAGTCTGGTCCTCTCAACACTTTGAGTTTGCTGATGAGGAAGATGATCGCACTGTGGCTGATCTGGCAGCTCCCTATTGGGAGCGTCCTGCTGGGCCTATATGGTGGTGCCATGTTTCTGCAGGTCACCCAAACATTGAAGCTTGGCTCAGCAATGCTCAATGGTTACATCCTGCCATTAGTTTGGCTTTGAGAGATGAAAGTCGGCTGATAAGTGATCGGATGAAACATCTCTTGTATGAGGTATATTGCCTTTTAATTACTTATCCTATACGTGATTACTAGTCTTACATGTAAATCATCTTGCAATCTATTCTATCACTTAATCTAGTTTACACTGATCATTTAGATGCACATTAGTAATAGCCTAAGTAATTATGAGCTGATACAGAACATCTGCAACACAGTTCAAAGTTAGTAATTGTGTCTGGGGACTTTGTGAGGGATTGAAAATTTTCTATAGTTTTATTTTTAATCAAAGTTTATGTTACAATGACAATTAATGCCTAAATAAACCTCAACAAATGATCTATAGTGGTGATTATGGGTGTTCATCAATTATGATATTATAGATGGTACTTCTCTGGTTCTAAATATAAGACCCATTTTGTAGTGTGTCTTACATTTAACACCGGAGGAGTAGAAGGGATCCTTTTGGATTTCATATTAGTAATAATATTTGTAACACGGCATTACAATAAATTTTATACCTTTTTCCCTTGATATTAATTATAATTTTAATTTAAGTAGGTCCCTGTCAGAGTTGCTGGGGGGCTGTTATTTGAGCTCTTGGGACAATCGGTTGGTGACCCTCTTGTTGATGAAGATGACATCCCCATTGTACTTAGGTCTTGGCAAGCTCAAAACTTCCTAGTAACCGTAATGCATGTAAAAGGATCAGTTCCGAGTGTAAATGTTCTGGGAATCACAGAAGTTCAGGTTGTTCTTGCTTGGCATATTCTTTTAATGGGTAGTAATATTTTTGATTTCATAGCTTCAATGCTTTGCTTTGATTAGGAGCTTCTTTCTGCAGGAGGGTACAACGTGCCCAGAACAGTCCATGAAGTTATAGCACAGCTTGCATGCCGCCTTTCTCGATGGGATGATAGGTGTGGACATTTCTTTTATATATATAAACATGTACTTCTTTTAGTTTCTTTAAGCGTCATTATTTTCCTTCAGCAGTTGTATACTTGTTACATAGAGTGCTTAAGTGAAATTTCTCTTTGAAAACAAGTTGACCCTTCACCAACCATACCATCCTTATTAGTGCTATTCTTATTTCTTCACATTGATGTGTGCGTGTGTGGGTGTAGAGAGAGAGAGAGTGGGTTTTGTTTTCTTGATAACCAGTGTAAAACTACGTTTTCCCCCATACACATAAACTCAATGAATGAATGAAATTTCAACATAGATGTAAGGAGAAGAAAAATAATTTTCTTTGTCTAAAGAGAAGGGCAATATAGGGGGAGAGTTACGTAAGATGGTCTCAACATGTATAGAATAAATCTAAATGTCAAGGGGGAAATTTGGTCTGTATGTGAAGACAGTTACAAGCTTATGACAGAGAACAAAATGCTTGAACCAGTTTCTGGAACTTAAATCCTTCACCTTTCCTCATATGTGTTTGATGTCTTAAAGATAAGTGCTACCAAAAAGTATGGTTGATAGGTTTGTAGCAAGCCATGTTTTTCTCTGCACTTGAAGTTTATTCAACTTCTTTCATCTGATGCATGGATTGTGTTGGTGGACTGTATCTTAGGCTGCCCTTTAGAAAAGCAGTATTCAGATTTGTGAAATTGGTCTCATGCTTCCATTGCTTGAGTTGTAGTTCAGGTGTATGATTGCTATTAATTTCATTATAGACTTTCAAGTTTTGTTACCTTGGTTTGACTTTTTCTTTAGTCATCCAGGCTATTCCGTAAATCTATATTTGGTGCAGCAGATGAGATTGAATTGAAGTTCGTGAACAGGTTCCCAAATATACTTTAGGTCATGAATTAAGTCATTATGTCACTTTGAATGAGCTTTATACTAAAATTGACACTTTTTTATTTTCCTAGGAGAAACCATGAAGACCTGAATCTCTTTAGTGTAATTCTTAATCAAGAAATCAGAAGGTTATCAAGACAGGTATGTTGACTTTTGCTGGTTTAGAGATACCTTTCTGGAGGATTTGCTACTTGCTGCTTGATCATTTTAACACTTACTAATGTTTCTGATTAGTTGACTAGGTAAGAAGAATGCATTGTGAATAATAATTGATCTATTTGTCTTTAAAAACATGTGAGGAAATAGGATCAAAGAGCATATTTGTCTGTAAATGCAAATTGGCATTAGTTGTTTGAAATATGTTGTTGAAATGGTAATGGTGATAGGAGTGTTATTTGAATGGAGGTGAAAATTGTTGGAATTGCCATCGTCGCACATCCATTTCATCAATTAGTAAAAGTTTGATTTCGTAGAGAATGACTGATATGACTACAAATAAGGCACTGGAGGCTACGTCAGCAGTAGTTGGTTATATAATAGCTTGGACAGTGTAGTTTTTTATTCTTAATTTTTTGAGCAATGCTTTGGACAGCTCAGTTTGAGTGTATTACGTGTCAAATGTAATGAAGCACAAGATGTCCATGACACATAGAAGTATCAAATGGTGCAAAGTTACTTGATTCTTACAAAAACTTTGAAAGTCTAGTGCAAGTCAAATTTATTTAGTCAGGATTCAGCTTGTACTTTTTTTATATCTTTAAAACTGAACATGAGGCTATTATGACTTTTCTTAAGGATGAAATGGGAGCCATTGTAGTGTTTTAGTATGAATTAACTTCAGCTTTTATCCACGGTATATTGTTAACAAGAGATTAAGCAGAAGCAAAGGGAAGAGGAAGTGGGCTATGGGGCTCCATTGACTCTGTCCCAGATCTTTTTCCATTTCCAATGACCCTTTTCCTTTTTTCTCTGATTATTGTCTTTTGGTCCTAGTTTAAGTAATGAATTCAATCCTCTTAAACATGAAAAACTGAAGTTTGGTAGGGAATATGGTTCTAACTAGTGAAAACCCAGCTATATTATATTCTTTCGGTCCTAAATATAAGACCCATTTTGTAGTGTTACAAAATGGGTTTTATATTTAGAACCGGAGGGAGTAGTAATTTTTGAACCTAATAGCTGATATATGTGCTTTGTAGAGAGTTACATTTCTATGACCATCTATAGAAAAATAAGGTAGGAGCAGTCAAATGGTTGGATTTAGATGTCAGTTCAATGGTTAATTTTTTCAGGAAATAAAGATGGAGCAATTTTATTTTAGAAAATTTGAAATAATGTAATCCCAAGGATATCAATTTTAGGTACAGTTGAATTTAGTTTTGGAGAAGTTTCAACTAGTACAAAATTTAAGTATGACAAATCGAAGTGAGAGATGCAAGTTTGCGCGATCATAGTGGTTGGTGAAATTTCAATTTCTATTGGCTGTTGTGTTGGGTTCAAGGGTGAAAGTGAGAAAAAGATCAACATTGGACGGAATTGAATTAGAACAGGATTTTATAAGTACAAAGGATATATAGACCTAATGCCATGAGGTTTAAAACATGATTTAATGTCGAGTCCTTGAGTATATGCTCCGAAAGTTTCATGAAGAAAGTTCAATGAAGATTTTGTAAGTCTTAGGATTCTCAGGTCTTAAAAATGGTATCAAAGCAGATCAACTATGGAAAAGGGAAAGAGGGAAGCATGGACCCTCTTTTGAGGGAGAGGCTTGATTCAAGTGTGAGTTAAATTTGAAAGTCTTAAGCCCGTATCCAAACATGTTGAGATGGACCAGCTGATTTTAATATGTATGCGGGTGTGCGTCCTTTCTTTGAAGCACACCTGACAAGTGACAATTGATCATCTATCAGGCATCTAATGCTACCCGACTCTCTTTCTCTCTTGGAATAATGGAAAACGTTTCATGGAATGCAAATATGGAAGGTGTTTAAATTCCCAACTTTTTTTCCCCAATCTATCACCAGCTTACAATACAATGTACTACCTCCAGTCCTAAATATAAGATCTATTTTGTGGTGCAACTCATTGTTTGTGACACTGTCAGAATTTTTCTTATGAAGAATTTTTACACCTCTTGCCTGCTGCAAGTATTTTTAGGGAGAATTACAATGAGGTTCCAAGCAAGGAAAACAATGAAAAACAAGTCCAAAAGGTTGTCATTCTTAATATACGACTTGTCATTATAGGCTGTTGAGGTTGTTATTAGGACTTTTTGGTGATTATTTTCTTCTGTGGGACTTGATTGTAATTCCCTGTATTTTTATGTATTTGTTTGATAATTTAGTCATATTCAATATTGTATATTTACTGCAGGTTATCAGGGTGAAGTGGTCACTCCATGCAAGAGAGGAGATTGTCTTTGA